GCTGGAAGAAACAGTTCAAACAATGGACACTTCCTGAATGGTGTCCATGGAGTACCTGGGCTTCGAGCAGGATGGGAATCACCCTGATGGGCTGATTAGTGCTCTGCAGGATGGGGGGTGGGGGGCAGTGGCAGCTCCCCTATAAGACCTTCATTTGGCGCAGTGTCTGCTGAATGAGACCCAATAAAAAAATGAAAACCGGATTGAATGGCTGAGGTCTGGAGGTTGTGTGGTTCTTTGGCCACTAAGGCTCATTGATGTGCCCCTCCCCCCCTTCAGGATGTTAATCCCTCCCCCAGTGCCCGTCTGCGTTCACACAGGTGTTACGAGCAACGTAACCCTCCTCCTAAAAGCAGGTGAGGCCTCATCTGTCGCGGAAGTCAGATGAACCTTTCTACCCACCCCTTGTGCTTTTTCTCTTTGTTCGGGGTGGTCCCAGGTTTGGTTTTGTTTTGCTTTTTTAGAGTGAAGGCAGCGCAGCCTTTTACCTCAGCAGCCAAGTAGGAAACAAGTAGAGACATCAGTTCTAAGTACCAGGACAAAGCAGGTAGGTGGACAGCTGGCTTCGCCACAGCCGCATAGAACTGCGTGAACTGCTCGTTGGCCAGTTTCACATAAGTCGCAGGAGTGCTTGGGGCTTTACCGTGTGTGGTAATTAGGATACCGTCATTTCACAAGCACTCAGGCCTGGTGAATGGCTGAAATTTCACGCCTCCAGAGGGTCCTGGTGAGCAGAGTTGCTCTCATGGTGTTGAACATAGGCGGTGTGCGGAGAGCAAGTTCATCCGCGTCTGTGGCTGATTCTGCCATGGGTGACACGGAGGCTCTCAGAGCCGTAAGCAGAGTATGTGCAAAAAAATCTGTGTGGAATCAGAAAAACTTTTAGTGGCAAGTGCTAGGCAGGAGATAGGGCCTTGACTGTCCCCCAGAGATAGCATGGCTGGGGTACACGGCAAAGAGTCCCAGCACCATGATCTTCCAGAGTGAACACACTCTTGGGGCAGCCGCCCTTGTTAAATCGCAAGGAGTGGGGTAGGGAGAACAATGGAATTATTTACGGCAGCGTCCTGGCCGACGATTATCAAAATTATCTGGGGAGCTTAAAAAAATTCCAAGATTACTCAGAATGTCTGGGGCCTGAGAAATTGTATTTTTAAAGGCGCCTGGGGAAATTGTGCTGTCACATGAAGCTGTTTTAAAGTTATCTGTGAACTGTACTCACAGAAGTGACCCCTCTTACCCCATTTTATTTCAAACATGGAGAACAAGTACAAAGCAAAGGTTGCATCTGAAGAAAATGTCTCAAACCCGACAGGGTTACAGTAGAACAGAGTTCACACATGGAAACAGAGCAGTGGCCCAGCCCAAGTCCTTTATCCCCAGGGAGGCCTGGGCCCCTGGTCAGCAAGTTGGCAGCAATCAGAGCACCTGACCGGAACGCTGAGTGGGCGGGCATGTCTCTATCTGGAGGGCTGAACTGTCACCAAGTCGATGGGTGACAACTTAGACCATTTGAGGATTAACTTGAGTAGAAAAGCAGAATTCAAACTATTTCCTTCAGAGCTTGAGTTTTCCTTAAGTTCACATTTATAAATTAGTCTTCACAGTTAATCCTATTTGGGAACAAGAAATAAATGAACATAGTTCTGGTTTCCTATGCATATAATGTAGTTGTACGTTAATTCTTACGTACTTACTTACATGGTCCATGGACTTCAGTTTTGTGAAGGGGTGGGTGAGTGGCTACCATTTTTGGATCATCTGCAATGTGCTGGGTCACTTGCCTATTTTATTTCCAATTCTGCCAGCAAGGCTGAAGGTAGATACTATTAGTCCCATTTTACAGATGAGGAAACTAAGGCTCAGAGAGGCTGAGAGAGTCGCCCAGGGTCATGGTAGGCAGTTGCAGAACCAGAACTTGGTACAGAGGACGGCCTGAGGGCATGGTTTATATTTCTATTTTTGGTATCCCGTGCTTCCTTCCCACAGAGGAGAACGCCTAACACTGTTAAATGAACTGCCCGCCTTCCAGCAGGTGGTGGAGGGAGGGCTTGAGGCGCCTGGGACCGAGCAGGTGCTCAGGAGGGGAGGGCTGGGCGGAGCTGCGCAGAAGACACCCCTGGCTCACGAAATACCGGTTGCCTTCTGAAACTCTGTGCCAGATGCTGGGTTCTCCTCATCGTCATTCATCATGTTATAAACGTAGATAAAAATATTAGGAAAATCTCCACTCTACTTTAAAAAAATTATTTCCATTTTATGCTTTTACAACAGAGCAAGCACACAGCTTGATTTTTTTGAAAAGATTCTAAGAGCTAAACTGAACTTGCTATAACCAATTTGAAAGGCTCACGACAAGTCACACAGTCTCCTGCAATTCTCCTGTTCTTATAAACCTTGACAGGTCACTGAAGGAATTATCCTAAAGATTCACATTACAATCCAGATACAAGGGGTACGTCGTCGGTGGCTCGCCGAACCACTCGCCTTGGTAACAAGCCAGCTGAGATTGTCCACAAACAGTTTAAAGAAAGGACTTCCGAATGTGACCACCAGTGACCCTGTGACCAGTGCCCCTCCCCCCAGCTGCTCTGCATTCAGCACCTGCTGTGAAGCCCGGGGTCCCCTCTGGGGAACCCGCCGAACCCTCTTGTCTTAGTTGATGATCTAGGCTACCAGGCGGCCACTTCGGAGAGAAGACTCAAGTAAGGCAAAGTGGTGCGGCTCTGAGAAGGCGTGCTGCGTCCACGTTCAGGTGCTGGAAGTCCACACGTGCATCTGTTTGGCAACCTGGTGCACATAGCCGATGTCGGGTCTCTGGTTGGGGTCGGGGTAGATGCACATGCTGACCAGTTCTCGTAACTGTAAGGGCGAGAACGGCGTGTTATTTTTCAGGAGACAGCCTCGTGGAGGCCCCCGCACCTGACTCACAGCTACGGAGGGGAGGCCCGGCACGCAGGTGAGCGACGGGTGGGCAGTCACAGCCGGCACCGATGCTAGGCCCGTCTGGCCGCAAGGCCGCAAGGCCACACCTTGAGACCCCGTGAGTGGCTCTGTCCAAACAGTTGTGAACTTCCAGCTGCCCACACGTGTGTGTGTGCGTGCGTGCATGCTGTCAGTCATGCAGATACCCAAACCAGAGGACAAAACTCAAGGCAAGGGCTTATTGATCATAATAAATGCATTAACATGCAGCAGGGCTGCAGTCTGCCCACCCCCTGGCCTCTTTATTGTGCGCATGAAAGACGGAGCTTTTAATTATACAGACACTGAAGGCTGCTCCCGCCTCGGGCTGGGGGAGGGGCGCCTTGAGCCTCTGATCGCCTCCGTTCTTCTGATAGCCAGAGTGCCAATTATTTTAATGGTAATTAAAATAATGACCTTAGAAAGCCTACATCTTCACTTGCATCACTGGGCTCACTGCAATTTTTTCATTTAAATACCTGGTGCTGGAGGGGCTGGCCGGCCCTGCGGGGTGGGGGTGGGGGGGGCAGCAGCAGAGAGAGGGTTGGTCCTGAATGAGAGGGCTCACGTGGACTCAGTGACCATGCTCAGGAGTCTGGGGAGGGTGGAGGGGTCAGGTGGGGGCCCCGGGGCTACTGTCCACGCTCCGTGTTTCACACCTGAGGTGCTTCAGGCTGCAAACGAGGTTTCCCTGGGTCAGACATTGTGAGCTTCCCTCCAACCTGTGTGCTGCCTTTTTGGGATTCCACTGCTTTATAAGCACTGGGAAGCCCCTGGACAGGCAGCTGCGGCTGGGCCCGTGGCTGGCCTGAACACTCCTGGAGTCTGAGGTTGCCCGTGATGAGACAATACTTTTAGGAATCTTACAGTATTCAGGGGAAGGCAGCAGCAGTTGGACAAATTCATGGACCCAAGAAAAACGGATGAAGGTAAAGTCACTGTGACTCCCAATTACTCAGTGAGTAGACTGCGCAGTTGGCAGTAAGAGCATGTTTGAAAATTTCAGAAACCAGGAGAAAAACAATAAAGTGCCTTTTATACCCCTTTCTAAGAGGCGATGTAAACTTCAAAAGTGAGGTGTGCTGAGCAACTCCAGTGCTAAGAAGCACCTCTCACTTCCTAACACACAGCCTAGAAACGCTGAATGTAACTGGTGAAAGTGGGATGCTCTGGGGAGTACGAGGTCACAGAGTTGGGAGTGACTGACTCGAGAGAGAAGGGGGCTGAGGGCTTTATGCAGATTCATTTCATTCCAGCTTCTATTAGGCAGAGATTATGGTTCCCATTTATAGGTAGGAAACGGGCACAGAGAAGTTTTGATTTGCTCCAAGTTCCAAGTCTGTGCTTCTTTAAAAAGGTGAGAAAAGAAAAACTAAATGCAGCTATTAACTGGTTAAGAAATCTATTAGCTTGACCTTTCCTGCCAACTTCCACTCCAGAGCATAAGTACTTCCTTCGAGGAGACACAGAAGAACTTTGTAAGCCGCTGAGGCAAAAGCCATGACAGAGCGTGCACTGAACAACCCTCTAGGAATGTGTCCTCCCCACCCTCACTCTCCGTCCTCTGGGAGTCTGCGAAGCCAGTGAGCGTGGCGGTAAGTACGAAGGCTGCCAAGAGAAGGGTGGCTGATGAGCCTTTTGGTTGGCCTGCCTAGACACAGCGTGAGGACACACTGGGAGACCCGGTCTCTGCAGCCCAAGCCCCTCGTGGACAATGGCTGCTCCTTCCAGAGCCTTCAGAGCCTTAAGGATTGGGACTGCAGCAAGCTGCCCAGGGGGCGCCTCAGCGCAGCTGGACCACTGGCTACTGAGGAGGTGTGCCATCAAGAAACAGGATGGCACAGTGGCTGGGTGCAGGATCTCTGGGTTCAAATCCTGCCTTCACCACTTGTGAGTTACGTGACTTTGGGCAAGTTACGTTAACCTATCTGTGTCTCAGTTTCCTTGGTAAAATGGAGGTGGGGGAGGACTCAACGGTGGGTCACAAATGTGAGCTGTTACCCTGCCACAGTAGCCTGTGGTCCTGCAGGGTGGGCCCAGGGAGGTCTCGGAGTCCTCTCCACATCCGCTAGGGTGGCCCTTGACAGACCACTGATGGTTGGCACAGAGTGTTTACCCGGAGCCACGCCCTTTGTTACAGCTGGTGGCTCCTTTTGGTGGCTTTGGGGTCAATGTCAGCCTGGTGCTAAGCTGAGCACGTCACATGCATGACCTAATCCTTACACTGACCCTGGGAGACAGCCTCTAGGATTACCCCATGTTACAGATGAGGAGACCGAGGCTCCGAAAAGTTCACTGACTCACCCAAGAACAGGGAAGGGAGTATATTAAATGTACGCATCTGCCTGCACCCTTAGTCATGCTGCGTGGTAAACCTGTCGTTTCGTCTGCGCATTTTATTCACAGAGGTGAAATTTAGCCCTATTTTCCAGAAGACGGCACTGAGGAAGGGGATATGCAAACACAGCTTGTTCCTGGCACGGACCCAATGCCAGACCTGTCCGTCTGTGTCCAGAACCCTTGCACCCAGAGCAGAATGTTGCAAGTAAGAGCCCAAGGTGTGACTTAGGTCCGGGCCAGCAAGGAGCCCAGTCCGCTTGCTGGGGTTTCCTGTCACGGGATCGAGTGGCAGCCGGCAGGGGGTAGGGCAAGCCAAGGCCCTGCCACCTCCTGCCTCCGAGTCTGACACCACATGGGGCCCATGTCTGGGACCTGCAGCGGCCAGCCTCACACTCAAGCACCGGGTTGGGAGCCAAAGGGGCAGAAATGAGCCAACGGAGCCTCACTGGCCAGCTTTGGTGGTTTCTGGGCCAGTGGGCGGGACACGTCCTGCCGCTGGGGGCCCATGCTGGTGTCTGAGACCTCTTCACTAACATTCATCTACTTCCCTCCCCCACCAAACCCTGGGTCACTTTCCCACAAATCTCCCCTTCTCCACCCAGTTAAGTGCACCCAAGTTCAAGCCCACAGCCGTGGCATTTTGGAAATGCCTCTCCTCTCAAGCCACTGCCGGCCATTAAGCTCCCCAGGCCTGGGGGCGGCAAACTCACCTTCTCAGAGTAATGTTCTCCAGGGAGAGGCGGGTAGTCACATTGCTCGATCTTCTGGCAGAGGGAGAAGAGGTTCATTTTATCTCCATAGAAGGGGCTCTGGAGAGCTGCCATCTGCAAGGGGAGGGGGCATGAGAAACATGAGTCTGCAGCCTTGAGGTCCAGGGGCAAAAGGGACCACTCCAGATTGGGGTGGGGTCCTTCTCTGGTCCTTGGCGGAGACTGTCCAGCAGGATTCCCTGAAAACCCTGCGGGAGCTGGGATACAGCACAGTAGCAGTTTTAACATGATCCTTGTCCTAAAAGCAAATTAAATGACGACAAGGCTTCAGTGACAAAACTTTAAAGGCAACGGGGGTGGGGGAGGGGTTGGAGCTGAATACGGAGGGCCAGCCGCGTGCGGGCACACCCACCTCACGCCCCAGCCCTCCGGGACGGATTCTGGTCGTGTGCACACGGCAGATGGGGAAACAGGCTCTGCTCACTGGGACTCGTGCCTGGGCCCAGCAAGCTCTCTCTGGTGCATTGTCTTAGATTTCTAAGAAGCAATCCCGAAGACACCCATGGGAGGATGTCTAAGTAATGATGCACTGAGGAAATTACTTACCCAAGGACTAGCATTTTGGGGGTGGGGTGGAGAGGTGAGGCCTTTCATTTTTGCTTTTCATTCTGGCTGTTGTCACTAGCCCATCACAGAGCTGCTGTCTGGGGGCCTGGAGTTCGGGGCAGCGGCTCGGGCTCTCTGTAGAAGCCGGACGCCCAGACGGCAGGGAGGGGGCCTGAAGCTCTGGGGAGTGGCAGCATGTGCCTGGCACCGCAGCCTGCCTGAATCCCACTTCTGCACTCTCTTGCTGTGTGTCTGGCCTTGGCTGTCTTAGCCCGAAAGATGGAAAAGGTTCCACCTGCAGTGCTCTGGGGAGGCTCGGCCGGCACGGGAGGCGCCACAAGCCGGGCTGTCACCACCCCGATGAGGCCAGTGGCGCTGGCTCTACCTGGGGGCACTGGGAAGTGAGAGGACTGTGATGGTGGTTGGCGAAGGGGGGAGGGTCTCCCCCAGTCGGGGAGCTGCCGGGCTTCCCCTTTCTGGAGGGTATCCGGACTCCCCGGCCCGTCCCTCAGGGCACTGCTCGGGGGTTCGCGGGAGCTCGGGGCAGCTGCATCGGGTGGGCTGAGCCGCAGCCCAGCACAGTGCCCGCCGGCCCCATCTGCTGATTAATCCGTAATGGCATTCAAGTGCTGCTTGTCACTCCCGCTCACTGTTGCCTGCCGCCAAGACGGCCCAACGCCCCCTGCTAATGAAGTGCCGTCGGGTAATAATTGCGCCTGGCTGTCCGTTTGGCCTCGGTTCCCTTCGAGGAGCCAGGCTGCCAAGGCCACTCCACACAGACTCCTTGGCCAGGGGCTCCCGGGCTACCTGAGCAATCCTCACTTGTCCTCAGGCCCTAACTCAGGGCAGGGAGAAGGCCGTGGGTGTTGGGTTTGCGGATGCCCCTGGCTTTAGTGTCCGGGTCTGTCCCCGTCCTCCGTTCGCCCCTGTGGACAGGTCTGGTGGCCCCAGGAGCAGGGCCTGTGTCCATCAGGAGGGCCCAGGGAGCTTCCGACCCCAGGCGGCGTCCATGGGTTTACAGAAGGCCTCTGGGGAGACAGCACGGTGTGACCTGGAGACTGGTTTCCTCTGGCCCCGGCCCAGGAGTCCACCCGGGGAGGCACCTGCGGGCCCAAGCGCCCGTGCCATGCCGAGTGCTTTCAGGGGGGCGTTCGGGGCCAGCCTCACTGCTCCTCCTCACCTCTCCTCCTGTGACCAGGGGCGCCAAGCCCCTGGAGGAGGGCTGCAGCGAGTGGCCCGGCCCTTGGCCGGGAAGGAGGAGCCTGTGGAGGCTCTGCCCACCGCGGGCCGCGCCAGCCTGACGGAGCCGGCTCGACCGAGTGTGCAAAATGGCATCGCTCGGGTGATGCATTTCCGATGGTTAAAATGAGAGCCTCGGGTGCAAAGGGTTAATTGGGCAGTTTCAAAAGGACATCTGTTGCCACGGCAGAGAGCGGCTGAGGCTCCAGGGCGGTCACTCGGGGTGAGCTGGGTGCCCTCCGAGTCGTGGCTGGATGTTAAGATGGATTTTCCTGGAAAGTGTTTCTGTTCAGAGTAGAAAGAACATTTAAAACGTTGGCCCACTGACACAAGTTCTGGTTTTTCATGTGTCGGACCGGAGACTGGCTAATCCTTTTAACAAGCCGTTCTGATTTGTGCAAACCTTGCTGTTTAGGGTTCCAAAAGGGCCCCAGAAATTGGTGGGGGGCAAGCCCCAAGCCAGCATCCCCTTCAGAGCATCCCTCCCTCCCTCCCTTGCAGGCCGCTCTTACACTGTCCTGAACAGGGTCAGCAGAGGGCTCCCTGCCAACAGTGCCTTCTCCATCCACGACGGCAGATTCCAGCTGCCGGCCATGGGCCTTCCACCCAGATCAGGGCACTGGGCTGTGACGGAACCTCTGGGGCTGCTCGAGGTGCTGGGATTAGAACGATTACCCTGAATGCTGAGATCCTGGCACTGGCGACCAGGCGACCACCCACTTCTGCCTGGTCGATGTGGCGGTGGACTCGCCGTTTGGGGCTGATCCCGTTGGCCTCGTCAGAACTGCAAGAGCCGTGGCGTTCAGCCCCGCTCCTCAAATGCAGAACTTTTCCTCTCTGGCGTTATTGGGATGACACACAGCCAGGAAGTGGGAGAGTGTGGCCACTCGCTGCCGCCAGGAGGGCTCAGAGAAACTGGTGTGTGATCTGAGATGTCAGAGGGAGAAGGGGACTCTGACTTCAGGGGTGACAGCAACTGCCTTTGACTCCTGCCCTGTCAGGGCCTCAGACACTCATCTTGTCACCTAGTATCTCCCGAGCACATCCCAGAGCGAAAGCTGCACCCAGGGGCCAATCACCAGTGGTCTGCAGCCCTGTTCCCCCACGAGCCAAAGGGCACCCAGACTCTTCTCTGGGTTCAGCCAGAATTCCAAACAGGATTCTGTACAAGGGGCAGGTGATCCTTAGTCTGGGTCCCCCGCTGCTTTCTTGCTGGCTCTCAGTCTCCCGAGGCTGCTGTGGAAGGTCCCCTGCCGAGGATCCTGGGGCTGGCGTTGGACGAGCCAATTCCTTCAGCTTTGTGCTCAGAGCTGAGCTCACGTGTAAATAAATAAATTCTGCAGAGCCCACGCTGTGGGCCAGGCGCCTCCGTGGGGCGTGCTGGGTAGTGAAAACAAAGTCCCGGGCCTTCTAACACGGTGTCTCCGCTGGAGGCTCCTGCCACCGGAGGGCGGGGGGCACTGTAGTCGCTTGGGGCTCCTCACCGCCTGGCTTCATCTCCCAGGGGCTCTGGACCGAGGCCCACAGTCCCCTTCTCCACCGCAGTCGCACCTACCCCAGTGTGGAGTCCTGCCCTGCAGCTGCCCAGGGCCTGGCTCTTGTCCACAGGGGGGTGGGCCCTGCCAGGCAGCCTGGGGACCAGTGCCCATCTTGGCCACTTCCTTGCTTTGTGACCCTGGGGAGTCTCTCCACCTCCCTGAGCCCATTTCCTCCCTTATAACGAGGCTGGGACTGGCCTCATGTGATTCTCGTGATTCACCCCAACGTCCAGGGCAGTGCTGCTCCCAGCTGCTGAGCCGTCTGGCCTGTTCCTCCTCATGCTGACCTCTTTGAGACGGGTCCCAGTGGGCACCCACCCCCCCGGGGGGGCACGAGCCAGGTGAAGTGCTTTGTGGCAGCTCCTCACTAGCCATGGGTCAACATCAGCATCTTCAGGTGAGCTCAGGAGGTCCTCAGTGGATACCTGGCTGCCCAGGTGATAGGGGGTACGGTGGGCTGAATAAAGGCCCCCAGAGATGCCTGCATCTTCATCCTTGACGCCTGTGAATGTGTTACCTTCAGTGGCAAAAAGGATTCAGCAGGTGTGATCCATTTAAGGACTCCGGGTGGGAAACGAGTCTGGGTGGTGCAGGTGGGTCTTAAATGTAATCACAAGTGTCCTTGTAAGAGGGAGGCCAAGGGAGACTGACTATGCAGGAGGAGGACGTGTGTTGCCAGAGTGGTATGAGGAGGGGGTCACGAGCCTCTCCATTTTCCACGGAAGAGGCAAGGAAGTGGATTCTCCCTAGAGCCTTCAGAAGGAACCAGCCCCGCCAACGCCTTGCCTTTTGTCCACTGAAATGGATTTTGGACTTGTGGCCCTCAGAACCGTAAGCGAATAATTTTATGTTGTACGAAGCCATCAACTTTGTGATAACCTGTTACAGCAGCCAGAGGGGACACAGGGGGCTTCTGAGACTTCGGGCCCAGGCCGGGGCTCGGGGAAGGGCAGGCCTGTGCGCAGGGGGCAGGTTTTCTCTGGCTCCGCACCGTCACTTCAGGCCACCCTGGCTCAGGTGGGTCCCCCCGGGGCCGCACTGAATCGGCAGAGGTGGTCTGGAGAGGGTGTGTGGGTGGGGAGCCTCTGTGAAAGCTCTTCAGGTTGGCGGCGCTTCTGGAACACACCACAGGCTGTGTAGCGGGAGCTCCAGTCGTGTCTGCGGGATGCTTCCTCCCAATTACCAAGCCCTGGGCCCAGATGCATCTCCCTCCCTGTCTGCTGGGGAAATATCTGCTCCCCGCAGGGCTGGGGGACCGGGGAGAGAGGTGGTGGCCCGCCGCAGAGCCCCTGCTGCCTGACATCCCCCGAGGGCCACGCGGGCCCTCTTCTGTGGAAGGCCCAGGGCCCTTGGGTGGAGATCCGTGCCCAGTGTCCCCGAGGACGACCATGCCCGAAGGACCTGACGGATTTCACCGACTTCCCATGGCCAGGACGTCCCGCTCTGGCTGCGAGCCGCAGGGCCCCACACGCTGCCAACAAGTAAATCAGCTCGGCTGAACCAGAGCCTGATGCTTGGAAGGCATGAGCGCAGACACTGTCTGGTTGAGACACATGCTTGGTGCCGCAGACGAGACGCAGAGGACGGCCTCCCCGGACCGTCGAGCCGGGCGCTGTGGGCCCCGGGCGGGCATCTGCCTCCGGGAGCCGAGACAAAGGCTCGGGCAGGGAGCAGGGTGGCTCTGTGCCGCAGGCTTGGCACGAGCACGGGGACCTAGCTGCCATCCTCCGGCCCCCGGGGGGGGGGGCACGGCCGCCATCACACGCAGGTCTCACACCCTGCTCGGCCCGCGTGTCTGTGTTTGGAGACCCTCAGGGTTCACCCAGGCAGGAAGCGGCTTCCGGAAACCCCAAACCCGGAATGGAAAAATAAGAGGAACCAGCCATCTGGCCCGGAGACAACATCCAGGAGGGCAGGAGGACAGAGCCGAGTCCTCCACGGAAACGGAGGCCAAGCTGCACGTCGGCTTCCCGCTGGCCAGAGCAAAAAGGGAAATGTGGCCGGTTGTGGGGGCCTCGCTGCCAGAGGTAGGCAGCAGGTACCTGGCAGCCAGGGGATAGTGGTGGGCGTCAGCGACCTGCCTGCCATTGCCGGAGGGCTTTCTCTGAGCCACACTCCGCTCATGTTCCTGCGCACTGGGGCAAAGGAAGCTCCCGGAGGGAGATGCTGACTGGCCCCCAGGCCTTTTACGGGGTGAGGGGGGAGCAGAGCCTTGAACTCAGGTCCTTCCGACCAAAGTGGGCCCGCACTCTCTCACCCGAATTACTGCAGCCATGCGAGTTAGCCTGCGTGCCCGCATGCACACACACCTCGATTCAAAATCGCAACCCCCCCGACCCCTCCCATGCCGAGGGCATCTGCTTGGGCCTGGGGAGACCAGGAGCGGCATTCCCTCCCCCTGAGGACTGACACCCAGGTGGACGATGCCCAGGTAGTAGGGGGTTGGAATCCCTTCCTCAGACCCCAGGCCTGGGCAGGGGGGCAGGGCGGCAGGGCTGCTGAAGCTGGAGCACTGAGCCTGGGGAGGGCTGGGGTGGCGTATGACCTGGACTTGGCTTTGTCACTGGCCTTAGCAGCCCCGGTGGCCATGGTGTTCACCTGGACTTGGAGAGACGGCTGGAGAGACCCCGAAGTCATGATTCATCTTGGGTGACAGACCCCAGTACCAGAGCTTCTGTGTGACTCTGGAGGTTTGCCCACCTGGTTTTAATTCCTTCTCAGCAAAACGAAACCAAACCAGCCCTCTGGGGCTGTTACGAATGTGCAGCCACGTGGGACACCGACTACAAGCAGGTTTCTTTCCTGTCATCCTTGCTGAGAACCGTGCTGACTTTCATCTCTTTTCTCTTGTTGCCAAAGATGCTGATTTCCCTCCAGATTCCCTCCCGCACCCACCATCCTTCCCTAGCTGGCTGCCCACCTCCTCCCCGCCCCACCACTCCGCACTCCCAAACCCCACTGTCCCTCCCTCTGTCCGTGCAGAGAGACAGGGACGGGGGAAGGAGACACAACGCAGCCCTCTTCCACCCGAGGGGGCCAGGAACCGCCCCGCACTCCCCGACCCACTGCGGCCACCAGCTGGGCACCGCCTCAGCCTGGCTGCCCCCGTTTGGTGGCCATTCAAAGAATTCCTCCCACAACAGATACCCTGCGGGGTCCCAGAAAGCAGGTCTGTGCCCCCTCTCTGACTATCAGGGCCTGACTCACTTCAAGATGACAGTGGGGGCCGTCCACACTGCTGACCTCCAGGAGAAGGGGGTCCCAGCCACAGATGCCACCTGGCTTCCTCTGTGATCACTAGGCCACTTTAAAATGCAATGTCTGCTCTTACTTGCAACAGAGATGCTGCGAACTTTAAACCTTGCAAAGGGATCCATTTTGACCTCGAAGTCTCACACAGTAATGCGGGGGGGGGTGCCGTACCACCAAAGACCCTGGCCACAGGAGCCACCGGAGGCCCTATGTGGGTCAGCAGTGGGCAGCTTATTCCTTCAGTTTATACCCGAGCACTGTGAGCTCCATTCCCAGAGTCCACAGTCCCAAGGAAGCAAAGAAGCCAGTCTCTGTGACCCCCAAACGCCCCCAGGGGGGCCCCTCGGCACTATCTTGAGCATTGCTGCCCTAACAGTCGGGCCATGTCAGCTTGACAATAAGCCTCTTTAGCTTATCCGCTCCAAACCAGACCCCACACGTGCTCAAGTCAGCTCCAGGGAAAGCAGAAAAATAATCAAGGTTCCGATTTTAAAAGCAAACCGTGCTTGGTGTCTCATGGCCCTTGGAGGATTTTTCAAAGCCTTTCATGTCTGTTCTTCCATTTATCCAGACGGGGACGGTGCGGAATAGGGACTATTCCCATTTTACAGATGGGGAGGCAGGCTCAGCAAGGTGGACAGAATCCCAGAGCTGCCCAGGACTAGGTGGTCCAGGCCAGGGTGCTGGAAGAGCTGGGGCCGCCGGCTCAAAGCTCCTGGAGGGCTCAGGCCTCCCTCCCTCCCCTGGCGGCTGCAACAGTGTCATAGCTTAGGAATGGCTTGTGCTCCCAGACCTCCGGGGGGCCGGTCACAACATGCTCATGCCGTCTCCTGTCTGAGCTGCCAAGACTTAGAAATATGCCCGTCCCTCCATCCAGACTGGCCAGAAATGGCCATCTGGTGGCTCCATTTCACAGCTCAGGGGAGGGGACAGTGGTCTTTAGTGAGGCCCGTTTTGCTGAGCCTGGAAGAGCATGGACACCCTCTGTGAGGAGCATGACAGAAGCACGGGCCAGAGCTGACCCCTTCTGTCCCCAGGCCCTGCATGAGGCCTGATGCACGGGTGAATGACAGTGGACGAGAGCACCCTGGTTACCAGGGAAACTGGGGCAGCCAGACCCCCTGTCTGTGCCCCCTCCGTCATGCAGGCAGACTGGACCCTGTTTCTCATCCGTCTCCCTTTGCAGATCGGAGCTGCCCAAGAGTGACGCGGCGCCCAGTCTGCCACCGGCCACACCTCTAACAAGCTCCTCCAGCCCGACGTTGTTAATCAGGCAGATGTTGGGCCGAGCGGGGTGAGGCCAGGACCCAGATGGAGCTGGTGCCCCAGGTGGCTGGACGTCATCCATCCCTGCGGTCCCACCTGGAGCTGGTGGGGTGAGTCCCACCCGGGCTGGGCCCCTGCCAAGCACACCCCACTGAAAGCCGCTGAGCTGCGAGCCAGACACTCACCTCATACAGCAGACAGCCCAGAGACCAGATGTCAGACTTGAAGTTGTAGCCGTTCTCGTGGATCCTCTCCGGTGACATGTAGTAAGGCGTCCCCACTGAAACACAGGACGGGGGTGGGTGGGTGCTTACGCTGTGTGCAGAGAAGGATGTGAGGGGGAGGGGAAGGCGTGGGCGTTGGGGAGATCGGGCCTCGGGCTCCCTCTCCTCCTCTCCCCGGCTCAGTCAGATGAGAGGGCTAGGCCAGACTGGAGCTCCCATACTGGGGAGGGCACTAAAAGCCCCTGGGGACAGGGCCGGCCCCAGACCTGAGAGTTGGTCTGGGGGCTGGGCAGCTGGGGATACATGTTTCTGCCAAGTGTCCAGGGAGTGGGATGCAGTGGCCAGACTCTGGGAAGCAAATGATCAACTGTCCTTTCAGGTGGGTGCCTGAATCCTAGAAGAGCCCAGATAAGGCTCTCAACAGTGGGAAAAAACCAACCCCTGTTAACACTGACCGAAGCTCATCACATGTGTTAGCTCATCTGTGTTCCTAACAGTCCCCCGGCGAGGCACACCCCCTTTACAGATGGGGAAACGGAGGCTCAGGAAAGCGGCAGGACTGAGGTTCAAAACCAGATCTCTGGGCTCTAGAGAGTGAGCTCTTAGCTACCACTGACCGGCATGTCCGGACTTGGGATTGGCCAAGATTTCTTACATCAAACCAAGGACAGAAAAGATAGTAACCATAAACGAAAAGACTGATAAATTGGGGCTTCATTAAAATTAGGAACTTCAGTTCCCCAAAAGACCCGTTCAGAGAATCGAGAGGCAAGCCACAGGCAGGGAGAAAATAGTCTCCATACATATGCCCAACAATGGCCCCAAACGCAGGATAGATTTTAAAACTTCTGTAAATCATTAAGTAAAAGACAGCTTTTCCGTCTGGGCTGCCGACATGCCATCCAGACTGAGGAAGACCCGGAAACTTCGGGGCCACGTGAGCCACGGCCACGGCCACATCGGCAAGCACCGGAAGCACCCAGGAGGCCGGGGTAGTGCTGGTGGCATGCATCACCACAGGAAACTTCGACAAATGTCACCCAGGTTACTTTGGAAAAGTTGGTATGAGACATTACCACTTAAAGAGGAACCAGAGCTTCTGCCCAACTGTCAACCTTGATAAACCGTGGACCTTGGTGAGTGAGCAGACACGGGTAAATGCCGCCAAAAACAAGACTGGAGCTGCTCCTATCATTGATGTGGTGCGATCGGGCTACTACAAAGTTTTGGGAAAGGGAAAACTCCCAAAACAGCCTGTCATCGTGAAGGCCAAATTCTTCAGCAGAGGAACAGAGGAGAAGATTAAGGGTGTCGGGGGCGCCTGCGTTCTAGTAGCTTGAAGCCACGTTTGGGGGGGCTTCATTAAATGCTAACAAGTGCTCTTCTCAAAAACAAAACAAAACAAAAACCCAACCCCCCCCCCCCCAAATTTGCAGAAGACTTAAAAGGGCACTTCACAAAAGAGGAACATCCAAGCAGCCAGGAAGCACATGAAACGATCTTCTTCTCATTAGTCATCAGGGCAAATTAAAAGCACACTGAGTTACGACCACCCACCCACCTGAATGGTTAAAGTTAAAAAGACTGCTATCAACCAACTCAGGGACGTGTGGAGAAACTGGAACCCTCATGCGTTGCTGATGGGGACAAAAAATGGAACCCCCACCCTGGAAAACCATGCACCACAGCATCTACTACAGCCAAAAACACTGCCGACACCATAACCTGGCAGGTCTGCTCCCAGGGAGATGCCTGAGAAAACCGAGCGCTTCTGTCCATCAAGAGATGTGATCAAGAATGTGCAAAAGGCTTTACTCATAATAGCCAAAAACTGGAAACAACAGTAGAAGTGGCCTATTCACACGATGGAATACTACGCAGCAACAAACAAGAACAAACCTCGGGTACATGCACGCCACCAAATGGATCCATCTCACAGGCATGATGCTCAGTGAAAGCCGGGCACACACTATCTGATCCCATTTTTATCAAGAACAGGACATGTATGTATGTCCCATCTCAGTTAAAAAGCAGAGGGGGCACACTTTTGATGATCTGGAACGGTACAGAGAGGAGAGGATTTCCTGAGAGGAGGTGAGCTCCCCGTCACCAGAGGCATGCGCATTGCAGCAGAGGGGCTGCTTTGGCAGGGCTCAGAAGGGACCCAGAGTCTGGATTTGTAAACAGATCTGTGGTCTGAGACTCTGAGCTCAGTCTATTTGGAGGATGACTGTTCTGGATACTTTTAGATCAGACTTTGAAGGCTGTTACACAGACAGCATTTTCACCGGCCTGCAGAGACCATACGAATGTGATGGTGGTTGCTGCTGGTCCAGCCAAAGTCAGGAGCCGGAGTTCAGCTCAGCAGAGGCTGAGCCCGAGATGCGGTTTATGACCTAGGAAGGAGGGAGGTCCTGCACCACGAAACGCATGTGCCCCTGGGGGAGAACAGGCCTTTCAGTGAGCTGGAAAACAATAGGCACCCCAAAGCAGGGGCCCAGGCTTCAGAAGTTCGTGGGCCAAAGACGTCTTGGGGCAACTTTAGTTCTGCCAAGTCAGGGTGTTTTAAAAGTACAAAACCCCAACTACCATTTAATGGTGTCACTATTCTTTTAAAAAGAGAAGACAGTTGGGTGCCTGGGTGGCTCAGTTGGTTAAGCGACTGCCTTCGGCTCAGGTCATGATCCTGGAGTCCCGGGATCGAGTCCCGCATCGGGCTCCCTGCTCGGCAGGGAGTCTGCTTCTCCCTCTGACCCTCCTCCCTCTCATGCTCTCTGTCTCTCATTCTCTCTGTCTCAAATAAATAAATAAAATCTTAAAAAAAAAAAAAAAAGAGAAGACAGTTGAACACCAGCGTAAGTGGAAAAACTCATAATCTCAAACTCAAGGACAGTCCTTTGCATTGAAAAGTTTAGCTGTTTGAAAGCTTTATTACCTTCCTGTGCGTCTCGTCTCGTTAGAGATGGGTGGGAAGTGGTTTCGGCCAACCTGTAGAGGCTGTGAATGGAGGTGGGAAGGCCTGCTCTGGGCTTGACCTCCCTGGGGCAGGACCTTGTTTACCAAAGGGTCCCAGTGCCCTGCCTAGGACCAGGAAGAGCCAGCTGCTCAGTGAGGCCTGGACATTTGGTTTATCCCTTCTCTTCTGTTACCACTTTGTCCCTCTGCTGGGGCTCCAGATCCCTCCTCAGGCCTATGTGTGGTGAAAGCCTTGGGGAACGCGGGGAAAGAAGGGTCAAGGAACACCACCACCCCTTCTCCTCCATGCTCCCCCCAAACATCAACGCCTCCATGGCTCTTTCTGCTTTTACCCCTGTTTCCACAGTGCAAGGGAAAGGCAAACACCCAAAGGTGCTGTGGACCTTCTCCTAAGATGCCAGGGCTGCAGGTACCATCCATCCATCCCTCTATCCAACTGTCCGTCCATCCAGCCATCCATCCATCCACCCACCCACCCATCATCACCCATCGTCTGCTTGTCTATCCATCCATCAGTCTGTCCATCCATCCACCTGTCCATCCGTTTATCCGTCCTTCTGCATCCAATGTTGACTGAGCCTTGATGTTGTGCTGGGCCCTCCCAGGAGTGGGCCCATCAGGAAGGAGTGGGTTGTCAGTCCCTGGAAGTGTCCAGAAGGACACAGAGAAAGACTGGACTGACCTGGAGCTGCAGCTGAATCACTTGGATGAGCCTGTTGAAAATCTGGACCCTGGCCCCCCCCGACCTGTGGGCTCAGCATCTCCAGGGCTGGCACTCGGACACCGCCTCTCTTGCGAGCTCCCCGAAGAGGCTGACGCATGTCACAGTCTGTGGAGCTGGGCAAAGCCTCCCCCAACCCCTGCACCCGACAGCTTTAGAGCTCAGACACCTGTGGCACAAAGGAATGTACGCAGCGTTAACTGAGGGAAACCTGGCCTGTCCACGCCAGGCACTGGGTCCTCGTGTCCCCACCCCTAGGCAGATTCTCCAGGTCCCTGGACCCCGTCTATGAGCCTTAGAGTTGGGGTGCTCAGCATTCTGCCACCTACCCCTGGGAATCCATCTGTAAAACCTGCTTTCCAGCCCGACAACAGATACTCAAACATTATGAAGCATAATGCACAACTTGCATGAGCTGTCAAGATAAAATGAGACACTTCAAAGAAATTCCAAGCTTGCAGCGGGCCCTGGAGGATGTATCCCCAAGCCCCAGGGGAGCAGCGATTCTGGGGAAGAGTGGGAGAAGCTGACAAGAGGAGGGGCCCCCTGAAGGCCTCACGCGGCTCGGGCCCTAGTCCTGCCCCAGGGGCCCCGGGGGCGCTGCCCGGCCAAGCAGCAGCACAGACTCCGGAGACGCTCCGGCGGGCTGAGCCCCTTCTCGCGGCCTCCCCACTGGATCCTTGGCCCGCCAGCTCCCAGGCCGGCCCCCACCCTCACTCCCCGCAGCGGGGGACAGAGCTGGCATATGAAACAGAAGCCTAACAATCCCTGACCTTCCCGGCACCGTCTTTGCCTAGAACTCCCGGACCGGGTGGATATTAGAGGAGGACGTGGGACCTCAAAGCGGAGGCTGATTAAAGAGGCCACATCCCGGAGACGCACCACTCCTGTCAAAACAAACTTTGCTGCGTCTGGAGATGCTCACCGTGTTTGAAACGTGTTCATTAGATGTGAAAAAGGCAGAGATTTCACACGAAGGGGAGGCTGGCGTCTGTGGGCTGCACTTCTTGCCCACATGGCGGTTTTGAAAATGGCTGGAGAAACGTGGGGTCCCCGCCCGACACCCCCCACCCCAGATGTGCCTGGGGGCTGGGACCCGGTGTGCAATCCGAGCGGCACAGGCGGGGCGCGCAGACTGCCACCAGTCAGCAGGAGAGCACTGAAATTCTCTCCCAGCCTCAGTTTCCCCGCTGGTGCAACAGAGGGCTTGCACTGGAGGGTCCCCAGAGTCCTCCCCTTCACCCTTTGGAGCCTTGGTTTCCCTCCCTGGAAAACGGGGACAGTGCAACTGACCTCACATGTGCAGGGGGAAGGGCTCTGGGAAGTCCCGCGGAGCCCCAGGGGGAGAGGTGGGCTGTGGACAGGGGGGCTGAGGTGGCTAAGGGAGCAGGAGAACAACGCAGGAGGGAGCCAAAACCAGATTCTGGAACCTGAGCGGCTTCCTCGGGGCTGGGCCTGGGGATCTGCACTTTTGTCCGTGATCTGTCCTATGAAACTCCCCACCCGCAACGTCCAACCAGGTCCCCCATCCTGAGGGGGCTCCCCTCCTCTCCGCCCCAGCTGCTGCCCCACCTCACTGGCTTGGACCACCAACTGGCCTAACCTCCCTGTCCTGCCCTTCCCCCCACCCTTCCTCTGCCCCCCAAGCCAGACTGGCTGCTCATCCCCCGAGGAGAAGGCCGGGTCCTCAGCTGGGCATGCGAGGCCTCCCCAGACTGGCCCTGCTCCCCTGCCAACACTGCGCGCGCGTGCGCGCGCGCACACACACACACACACAAACACACACACACACACACACACTAACCTCCCTGTCCTGCCCTTCCCCCCACCCTT